CCAGATTCTCATTGATCACAGACAGTCGGCAATGTATCATTAGTGCCCAGTGACGAAGAAGCAATCACCAACAATAGCCTGTCGGTGACTTTTGAGAATCAGGCTTAGTTTATACTTCGAGCAAAGGTACCTGACAATGTATGTCTTATATAGAAAAAGATTCCACCACAGCGTTACGTACTTGGGGAACAGTTGCAATTGTTCTCGTCGTTTTTATCATCGTCACCGCAGTCATCGTTGCCAAATGCGCCTCTCGCTCCAGAGCTGCTCGACGACAAGCTCAAAGTGGTGTCGCTCACACGCCAACAGCATTTCATCTAACCCCTCGTCCTCAGCCACAAGTTAACCAATCGCAGCAACAACACCATCATCCGTTACAACCAAATATAGCTTTCGGTAATTACCCGTCACCATACAGCACACACCAGCCTTCACTTCAACAGGGCCAGGACAACGCTATTTTTTATCCTCCACCATCAGCACCACCAGCAACATTCGATTCACATGTTGCACCACCACCTTATGCACCACAACCAGGACAAAAATATTAACAAAAAAACTGTATACATATTGTAATACTATTCTTTTCTATTGGCGCTACGAGGGACGGAGCGATTTCTATCTTTGAGAACGTCATGCATTTTAATAGAACGTCATTTGATTAGCTGTTTCCGATCACTTGGTAGTAACTGGAGTTTACAGACCATGCCATGGCAGTTTCTACGAGGCAAAGTTTTTTCCATCTAACAGTTTCATGTCATGCATGTATGTTTTTGTTTAATTTGGATGATGTAATAATTGTTGCCACTTCTGCATTTCGATAAATTATTTTAACAATATTGATTCATTTGGTCCCATATTTAAGCATAAAAAATCTAATAATATTCTTGCATGTTTGCATGGTGACAATCGATAAGTACTTTAGCTTGTAGGTATACCACGTAAGTATTTAGTACTGCAAAGCTTTCGGCCCGTTAACCCGGGCCTTCATCAGGTAATTCAGGTAATTGCACTGATGAAGGCCCGGGGTAACGGACCGAAAGCTTTGCAGTATTCGTGATCTACCTACAAGCTAAATTACTTATAAAAAATCTAGTTGAAAGGAAATTCTATCACCATCAAGCGATCAAGAACATCTACCTCAACCACAACCTCTTACCCAGGGTCTTTTCTCTGTGCTCACTCTGGGGGGGGATTTGTTGATGATTTAAAATAGCTTCGCGTAATTTTATTATAATTGGGAAGCGCATTTAGATCAGTGCAGTTACTGGCATAAATGATGCTGTGAACTCATTAACTATTAAATTATTTTTTCAACCAGAAATACATGATATAATTAGACTGCGTAAAGAACTCGCTTTATTTTCTATAATTCATTTATATATTTAATTTACAAACTCAAGGCACTCATTATCAACTGAGCGCCATTTTGTCTGACTCTTCCTTGTCTCAGATATGTTCTGCTGAGTTACAATCCCCGGTCGGCAATGTGCACTCGGACCCTATGACGTCACAGACAGTACTTTAATAACTAAGAATCTGAGAATCCCTTTGTCTGAGATCGCTGGTGCACGAAATGCTTTGTCTATCGGAAGGTAATACAATAGATCCCCGATTCTTAGAAGCTAATTTGAACAAGGCCTTAATTAAATAAATTGCTGAGACATAAGAGCAACTTAATGGAATCATATAGTAACCTTCTCTACTCTCTAGTTAACAGCTTTTTTGTTCGCACCTGTCAAGTGGATGTATCTCCCATGTGTTTGTGCTTGAAAAGTAACAAACATTGCTTTTCATTTATACTTTGCTCCCAAATGATGTTCCGTACTGCAAGATTGGGTTTTTTATAATTGAAAATTAAGAGAACAATTCCCAACTTGACAGCAATTTCACATTATCCCATTTATTTCTAGAAGTGCCTTGTGTGGATTGTATGCAAATCAGTGTCATCTATATGGTCTTGTTCTCTTGCATGATTTATCAATTTTAGTGCAAGGTTATACTCTGAATTTCGCGTTTACACGACAAAAATTGGGAGTAGCGTCCACGGGCCCAATTTTAAGCAGCCTGTGCCAAAAATTCATGTAAATGGCGCTAATAGACTCTTGGAATAATGGTCAAATGGTCAATCTTTCCCACATATTATCTAAGTCATAAGGCTTACAAAATAGATTTGTATGACGCAGGTGAGATTATTTTTGGCACTGTAATATTATTCTTTTTAAAACATTTGAAATTGCCATATTTTTTAAAGCTTTTAACCAAAGTAAGATGAAAAGATTCCCACTAGGTTGAAACGGTCACTTAGCATAGACAATGCGATGATTTTGCACAAAACCAAGACTTGGTTGATTGCAAAGGTCGCGAGACCAATTATCTTATAATATAGATGGAACGTGATTAAGAAATAAATTTATCTAAAATAAACAATATGATAAGTAGCATTGTGTTGCAATGAACTATCAGGACAAATTACAAAGGAAAGTGTAAAGTATCAATGCCCGCTAGATTATATATGTTTCACTTATATGGCGATGTTAATGGATGCATTTTACAATTGCCAAGTCCACATTCCACATAACATAAAAAAAGTGTTTACAACAAAACCAATTATGACCTCTGAGAACATTGCCAAGACGGCACTTGTGATGTATTCCATGCTACAGCCTACACATATTTTTTTAATGGAACCCGCTCGAAATTTTGTAATTATATATATTTAGTTATAATCAGCTCAGACGTCAATTTAAAACCGAAATACAGCATATATATTAAAATATATGAACCAAGAAATGGATTCCATTTTACAATTCACCAAGAAATGGATTCCATGGCCATTTCAGATCACCTGGTAATTGTCGTGGACATGTCAAGTGTCAACGTGGCTGATGACGTGTTATTAGACTATCTCCATGGGTGGACAGTCAACACTTTGAATACAGACAATAAGGACAAATTTAAAACAAGTGAAATAAGTGAAAACTGCTGAAAATGTGCATAAGTGAAAACTGAAAATGACTGTTTACCTGTATACTGTTTTGGACAGTTATGACAAGGGATAAGTGCACGCGGGTTGACATAACAAAGGTCTGGTTTACACCAAAGGCAAAGCTACGTGAACAATAAAGTGTAGTCTTTTAAATCTAATTAAAATTTCATTGAATTCATCTAATAAACGATTCAAATCAGAATAGTATATGCGGCTATAATTCGAACTTATAGACGCCTTTCTATAATGAACCCTGATGTCGCGAGAATTCATCCAGGATTGTTTCAGTCCTATCGCCAACATTAAGGCATTTTCTACATGGATGACCATGGATGGTCTATATAAGTGATATATGCATATATGCAAGGTCTGATGAGACAAAAAGGCTGTGATTATTTCAATCAGTGAAAAGCAAACATTTTAATACTTAAATGAGACAACGAGGCAACAAACTATTTGTATTAAACTAAGAATTGCAATTCGAAATTAATTCGTCGTCATGCAGTTGTGGACTTTGTAAACTTTGTATAAAATTAAAATCATTTATAATTGGCAGCCCATTGAACATAAAAGTGACCATTATCGACCATACGTATACGTCAGTTACTAGAGATAATCCGGCTTCAAAACCACAGTGCCACTTTTGACATAGTCTATATATTGTCCAGATTGTTGGTGTAATTGGGATTTGCTCAATTGAACTTTTCTGATACTGGTTTGGCAACCGTATATATCTCATTCTAAATGAAAATCCTGAACGCCTTACGGTAGTATAAACGTCCGAAAATGTCAGCATTGTATTCAATAGAATATATAAAAATCGCTATAAACTGCACATCTATATAAAGAATGAAGGGACTGATATGTCGCGAATACTTCGTGAATGATTTTAATATCACCGCGCTTCCCTGGGTTAGGCGCCATTTTGTGACCCGCAGTTCAGTTTCATGACCATGCAATGACCTTGGACCCAGTATTTATATTTTGTGGCATTGTTTATACCATAAGATCATAATACTATGTCGGAATTATGGGTAATTGTTAAATAACCATAATGCTTGCCAAGTATACTGATAGTAAAACATCATGGGCAAGAATCCCGCCGAACTGAAAAGCCGCGGGCTCACATGAAATAGAATCCTGAAATATAATGGTGAATTTCTTTCTTTCCCATATTTCATTTAAATCCTATAGGCTGCAAAATAGAGTGGTGTGACGCGACGCAATTTCAAATATGTTGAAAAAATCTTTTTAATGCTTTATGTTAAACAAATTATAACTTAAAATTTCCCATTTGAACGGTCATTTAACATAGACAAAGCATTGATTTTGCACAAAACCAAGACTAAAAATATGGCCAATTACAAAGCTTCTGTGTTAAAGTTTGAAGCATTTACATACAATTATAATATATATATAAATATATAGTCCAATGATATAGATTGAACGTGATTAAGAAGTAAATTTATGTAAAATAATTAAGCAATATGATAAATATAGCTAACAAATGATTAGAATGAACTATCAATTCATAAAGGATGATTAGAATGAACTATCAATTCATAAAGGAATATATAAAATAGCAATGCATGCACGCTAGATCATATATGTTTCGTTTATAAGGCGATGTTAAAGGATGCAATTTTAAGTCCACATTCCATTACAACTTAAAAAAGCGTTTACTACAAGACCACTCTCTGCCTTTGAGAACGTTGTCAAGACGGCATGCACTTGTGATGTAATCCAATGCTACAACCTTATACATGCATGCCGTAATGTTCAGTCATAATACACAAATTCTACACACCATAAATGGGGCTTTCTTGTTAAAGTTGATCTAGTGAATTTTGGCTTTTGTTAAAAATATAAAAAGAAATATAAAAAGAGTTTATGCACGGAGTAACTATATGTATTTTATCGACATACTCGATCGTTGTTGAAATTTTCGTTCAAGTAGGTCTTATTTAGGACTTTTAAGCGCATCACGTAGAGCTTATACGTGGAAAGGGCGAGGTTTATAATCAGGACGAGGTTAAAACATCTGAATAGAGTCAGACAGCCAGGCACGCGTAGGCGCACCACACCAGGGTCACGTAACACCCCAGTATGCTTATTCTAAACATTTAGACGTGAACAAAGTGTAGCTGGACAGATTATAAATTTTTATTTACTTCTCCGAGTGCTTTGTTGGCGGACCTATACACCTGTCGGAAATGCACAATTTGCCATGTCATTGGCTAACTAAATATCATATACAGTAATTACATGCAAAATTATGCGAATATGTACAAAATACAAGGCATACAAAACGGTGATGCGGACTGATCTGTATACTCTATAAATCGCTCTCGTAATTAAATAAAACTTGCTTGTTGTTCGTGTTTTAAAAGCCGCTCGTTAAGGAGCTGGACTTGACTTTTCAGGCTGTCTACCTGTTGTTGAAGTTCTAACTTCTCGTCTTCTAATGTTTTTACTTTTTGTAATACTTCAATTTCCTTCAAACGCCTTGCCTCACGGCTCTTTCTCGCCCGTTCTGTATTCTGACAGCGTTTCTTCCAGTACGCATCGTCTTTCATTTCATCCGGAATTGAACGCTTTCGCGAGCGCTTTGAGATCGGCCTAGGATCGTAATTCACCCGTTTCTGTCGGTAATTCCAGTGAATGCGTTCCGTTAAGTACCCTGGTTCGTTCTTTGCGACCGCTTTGTTGCTCGAACGAGTTTTAGGTTTGCATTCCGGGGCGTAAGCCTCCCTGGCGTACATGCACTGGTTCTGATCGAATATCTCTGAACGAATTCCGAATCCAGAGCAAGCGTTAAAGAGGTCGTCCAATTCCGTACCTTTGAATGCCGCAAGCATATCAAAATCTCCGTCGCTACCATCCAGGCTACCGTCAGTGGATTCGTTCGACTCACTTAGTCCACAAAATTCATTTCCCATCAGCATGAATTCTTCTTCCATCTCTGCAATGAGATATCTTACGTTGTGTCTACTGCGAGCTTTGTTCGTATACGAAATATATCGATTGAGTTCCCCAACACAAATAGTGTGTCCGAATTGCCGAGGATAAATAACTGCACAGCGGGTTTCCTATTATGTGGAATACCTCTTCTCTTCAATATGTAAAGAATAGCAAAGTTACCAATGAACAAGCTGTACGCTCGTGATGACAATCTGCGATTGATTGACTCGAATCCCTAATGAAGACTTTTATATACGATTATTACGGCGCGATGCGTTTCCTTGAATGGCTTGTCGCATGTCGTGGGTCCGGTTTCTCAAGGTGACTGGCAGGAATACGTGCAATATTTTTTATACAAAGAAGCAATCAGAAGTCTGGCGTGGGCGAATCTCTCCGTGTAAACTAATTGAAATTCGCTTTTCCCTGATATGTAAATAGCGCATTGAAACAGTCGTCTCTTGACAGATCCCAAAAGTTACACAGAACATAGCATGAACAGGAATTATCGTCGGCACTGTTCTGCAAACTGCGGTATCATACTCCGGTAGAATATAGCTGACTAGAATGGGTTACATCAATTTAGATTGTGGGCTGATTGATCGATTGACTGAACAGTTACTGGGTTTGAACAAAACTAATTGCAAGATATTTTTAACCGCGATTAAAAATGGGAGAATTTGCATAACAACGATACGAGGATTATCTGAATGAAGCAATATCGAGACTGAACTTCGTTTCATGTATATTTATTACATTTTCGCGTCGAAGTTTGGAAAGTTATGTATCGGCTTTGGGTCGAATACACCCAGTGTCGCAATCATGTATTTTGCATGAATTAGAAATTCGGGGGTACATTAAAGCATCAGAGTCTTGACATCCTCAAAAAAGCGGATTTCCGATTGCGTGTGGCAACAAACGACACTTACCGATTTACGGTGATGTTATAGAGGCAATACGCTATATATCTCCGATATTGCGCGAGCTACAACGTAAAATCAGAGACTTCCATACCTGCTGTGACAGTTGTGTTGTCAAACTGTTGGTAGGAAGAGGTATACTGTATGTTTCATAAACAAAGGCTCATCTATTGAAGAGCCTCAGATTCCGTGACTCAGGTTGAAGATTGACCATCCGACTCAATTAAAAATTTTTTTTAAAGAAATAAGATCCTATATTTCACTAAAGCTTTGAAAAGTTTCAGGCAGCGTTCACATGATATCGCGGGCAAAAATTGTGACGAAAAGTCACAAATTAAAGCGGAGTTCTCGCTAGTAAATGCTTGTACGATGGATACGAGTTTTCATTCGATTTTTTTTAACAAGAAATATCATATGAAAAACCGTAATGACGTGTGCTGCGATTGTGCCAACGGAAAGCGGCGCTCAGCAACACGTCTATATCAGTTCACGTTTGTACGGAAGAGATTTTGAAGTTACGTGAACGACGGCTATAAAGCCAGAACGATATCTCCTCTAAATTTCCTTCAGTCAGTTTTGCTTTTTATTGTCACGATAGTACGTATTACCTTGGAGTTCTGGGCATTTAAAATATGCGCGATATGAGTTTAATAATCGTGTTGTGATACAAACAAAAAAAACACCTCTTGATGCATTATGTGTCAATTTTCACCCACTTGTTATAGAAAATATATATTAAGATGATCGTGCAGGGAACAAATTAGTAATTCATATCACTGTAAATAAGGTTTTGTCGCAAATCGCCACAAATGGTTTCTCATTGCTGCCATATGACTTCCCCAAAGAGAGATCTTTGTAAACGACTAAAAAGGCCGGGCGGGAAATAACACTCAACTTCATATCGTATATCGGGTACACACTGTATAACTAGGATTAAATGTGATATTAGCTTGCATAAGGTATGAATATCGATGAATATCGATATCCATGCATTTATTACCCATACAACACGCCCTGCCCCTTAATCAGTATTCTAAGTATATGCGTATGTTTGGCTGTTGCCAACTGCACAAAAAATGACTGCCCAATGGTCCCAGTATTTAAAAGCGCCGGTTCCGTTTCGCGTCACATCGGTCTAGTACTATTTCCGTTCGTGTCTGTAAGTGCCCTATTTTTAAATATAATTTCCAGACTTTTCTGTCCGTTCTCCTGCCGAACGGCAGTCCTTGCAAACCCAGGTATATACTTGTAGCATTACTGGAGTGGTGGTATGAGAAATGGATGATTTTGACATAAAACGTCTCTAATTTTGGGGATACTGCCGCCCAAAGTAGTTAGCAAAAATACTAAATACTTTCCCAGTTTGTAGAGAGATTTATCTAACCACGGTTAATTCTTAGCCTGCTTTCCCATTATTAGAGTTACTACCACATTCTACATAAAAATACACAACAGTGCTTGAATATTAGAGACCAAAGTTCTTCTGAACGCGCAAGGCTCACGACACTCCGATTTTTTCATTTGTATCAAAGGATCGACCTCGTATACAAAAAAGGAGAATATAAATTTGTTTGGCCAAACAAGTTTTGACTCCCACGCGCGATCGATATCATATAGGATTCGTTTCCGCACTATTTCAAAAGTTTCCAGGCGTGTTTTACCGACGGTGTTAGTTCAGAGATCATTTCGGCCAGAGCTAAATTACGTTTGTGTCTAAATTCAAGGTTGAGGTGCAATTGTTGGCAATGACAGTGATAGACGCACCGTATAAGGCCGGGTGAAAACTAAAAACATCCCCTCAATCCTCAGAAAAAACTTCCCCCCCCAACGTAAATGATATTGTTTCTTCGTTGTGCATGTTTACCTCATTTGGCGACGCCTCGAAAACACAAAAAGGCGTATTATGTTCGACATGACGGAAGTTCTGAGTCTCTTCCTCAAACTCGACGCTTGTTATAAAGGAAATTTAACTGTTTGCGCTGATTGACTTTGAAACGTTGAATCCAAATTGTTGATATCAAGTCCGTGTACGGTCATCCGCTTTATAACTCCAGCGCAATAAGGCCGGTCATATGATGTTAACAATACCCATATTCGTCCTATATCAAGTAAAAACAGCGTCTTTTGATATAAAGTCCAGATATAAAGTATATTATCATTTTCTTTACCGTCAGGTAACTCAGGTGGTTCTTTAATTTTTTTTTAAAACTGTTAAACGCATATTTCAATAGGAAAATTCAGCATCCGAGTAAACGTATGGCGGCAAGTCTAAATTAAACTCGATGTGTCTTTCAAGAAACATCACCGTTAGCCAAAATTCATGAAACAATTTTCTTCTGAACAGACGTTGCTCTAGCAACAGGACGTTTTAAAAAAGCTAGAAATAAGGTATATTTCTATAGATATAGATATATATATATATATATATATATATATATATATATATATATATATATATATATATATATATATATATATATATATATATATATATATATATATATATATATATATATATATATATATATATATATATATAGATATATCGCAAGTTCAATCAGTGCTTTTGAATGACGTTCTATTTTATTAGCTTAAAAACTTAAATGTTTCAAGGCAACAAAAATTAACCGTATTTTGCGTAGTTAACGTATTTCGCGCGACCATTCTGAAACGTCTCTGTTGTTATATAGGATCGGTTGAAAAGTAATCACTGCCGATCGGTTTTAGTCAATTTTTAAAAAAGGTCGTCTTTATTTAGTCTTCGCTTTTCGCTATATACCATATCCTTTTCGTATATTATATAATATCTCTTAGATCAGTCAAAGATTATTTGGAATCTACACCACTTGTCTTTGCATATAGACGCAACGATCGATTAAAATGAAAAATATCTTTAACTGAGCTTCAATATTTGGTTGGAGCATTTGCATGCAGTCCGATTAACTGATGTATGAGGTTCAAGTGGTTCAACTTGGGCATAGTCGGAGGTAATTATAATCTCCAAATGTCATTGCCAACATTCAACTGATGTCACATGCATGAGAATATCAATATACTTATCAACTTTGTTCGTTCTTAGTGTAGAGTACGGGTATAATCGGGTATAATCATAGCTAAATAATAGTATTACTGATTATCATTAAACACAGAACAATATTGACTTATATTGTAATATGTATAATAGTGTTTATCAGAACAGCTAAAGACAGCAAGTTGCTTGGCGCACCGTTGGTTCAATTTAGCCCAAACAAACTTTATCAGTGGACTGTATAAAATCGCCAACGTGGAATTTCCGACGCAATTCATATTAAACAGGACAAGCTGTGACACGTAATGAATTTATTCAACTTGGGGGCTGAGCCTTGATTGTTGTCAACTGCCAACTGTTTTCGCCGTGAACAAGGCTTCAGCCGGGAACATTTACTATATTTTTCCGAGATTACATTGCATTGCAATAATTTGTATTATCCAGATTATAAATTAAATTGTACGACAAATAAAATGCACACTGTATAATGGGTGTTTTTTGACTTTGTGAAATGTTCAAGTATATATGCGTGCATGGGGTCCGTCGATAACACAAACAAATTGAACACATGAAAGAGCGTTGTTTGTGTAGAATCGTTGTCCTGCCGGTTCCCAGCAAAGAACCGAAGCGGCTTCTAAATAATTTGAGAGAATTCCCATAGTTAAGGAACACGCAAACTTCAAATTAACACTCCCCACGGAAGCGAACTTGAAGTGTTTAGCAGATAGACCATGGTTCTGAGTCTGTTCAATCTAAAAATAGTAATTAGCCTACCATACGCAACTGGTTGGAACATGGAAGTTACAAGCAATAAGCCTAAAACAAGAATATTAACGATTTTTGTAGAGTGATATAAAAAGCAAATAGCTATAGTCTATAGATATATAGTGAGGCTTTCCGCTTTCATTATAAGCATCAAATAATTTATACGAGTCGTGGTCCGCGTCAAATGTTTGATTGTGTTTTTTTACGCTGCACAAAAGTGAACAAAGTATATATTATAAATATATATAAGTACGAAGCAAATGTTCGACCTGACGGAAGTTCTGAGTCTCTTCCTCAAACTCAACGCTTGTTTTATAAAGGAAATTTAACTGTTTGCGCTGATTGACTTGGAAACGTTGAATCCAAATTGTTGATGTCAATTCCGTTTACGGTCATCCGGTCTATAATTGCACATATTTTCTGTTAATTAAGAACGAAGTAGAATACGCACTAACCCATTGCAATTAACCTACTGTGTCTCGATATTTCCAGTTAACCCCCGCTGATACCTATGACGTCACAAGATACGCGGAAATAACGCCTGGGTCGATAAAATTCGGCACTTGCTAATTCCATCGAATCGAGTAATTCCAATCGGTCGACAACAGGCAAATAATTCGACCTATCACTGGATTTCTTAAACCCATTCCATTTATTCCACCTTCGGATTGAACTTCCATTCAATCTGATCACTATATATTTGTAATATGTAGCTCATCTATCTATACATGTATTATATCTATACATGCATTTCTGATCATGATGAATGATATACCAGATACCGACAGCAAATATACGCCATCAACAGCAGTA